GGTTTATGACTTAAAACACCGACATATGACGTATTATAGAATGGGCCTAGTATGACAAAGAAGCTTCTAATTTCTACGCGATATAGTGTCGCCACCGTCAACGCGGAGTTCGTGGCTGACTAGACAGGAATCTTAAAAATTCACTTGTAACACCTTATTTATCTCATTTTGAGTGGCTCATTATATAATATGGGATAAATAGGACAAGAGTCTTTATTATCTGCAGGAGCACGACATGCTAGAGGAACTATGGCCACTGGCTATATTGGCGCCACGGCACTCACAGATAGACGTCGCAAAGTTTTACGAGGACAGCGATCAACCGGATCGTGCGGTATTACTGTATCATAAAGCTAGTCTTCTGCATAAAGCTTTAGACGTCGCGTTCAGAACGCGGCAGTACAGCGCGCTGCAGCTAATTATCATGGACGTAAATGCGGATTCCGATCCGGCGTTAATCCACAAGTGCGCCGATTACTTCATGCAGAACGATCAGATTGATAAGGCGGTGGATCTACTTGCAACCGGTAGGGACTACATGGCGGCCTTGGATCTGATTCAGCAACATAACGTCGTGTTAAGCGAAGAGCTCGCGGAGAAGCTAACGGTTGAGAAGGGAAACGGTAACGACGCGGATCACGAGCGTATGAGAATTTCCACGCTCGAAAAGATTGCGGAGATCGCCTTCGATCAGGGGAATTACCATCTCGCGACTAAGAAATTTACGCAAGCTGGCAACAAGCTACGCGCCATGAAGGCGTTACTCAAGTCCGGAGACACGGAGAAGATCTGCTTTTTCGCGCAGGTCTCCAGGAACCGTGAGATCTACATCATGGCGGGCAATTATTTGCAATCTCTAGATTGGCAAAATCAACCGGAGGTTCTAAAAAACATAATCAATTTCTACTCCAAGGGCAAAGCCATGGATTTGTTGGCAAACTTTTATGTGGCTTGCGCACAAGTGGAAATCGACGAGTTTCAGAATTATGAGAAAGCGCTGGACGCACTGAATCAAGCAAACAGGTGTCTGTCCAAGGTGGTGACGCCGCGAGATCCGGATGTACACAAGCGAGCGGTGGAGCTGGTGAACAATAGAATGTCGGCGATTAAACGCTATTTGGACATTAAGAGGTAAATCTAAGATGCTAATCCTAAATTTGCAATGAGCAATTGCATAAAAAGCGTTTGGGAGAAATTAAATAATAAAAATAAAATAAAAGTTTATTTAATATATATATATATAGGCCTATATTTTTATATAATTAATATTTATATTTTGGCTAAAAAAATAAAAATTGAAATATTTTCTTGAAGTGTCATTTATAGATATCATATTTTCTGCATATCTACGCTTATTAGATCATGTAACTATCCTTATTTACATACTGGAAATTCTTATAAAATTTTTATATTAACTAAAATACATTAATTGTATTTAATTGAATATAAACGTAATCTGTATATTTTCAAATGTTTTCTTTTTTTCTTGTTGAACAGATTATTCGATAGAGGTGAAACAGAGACGGCGATGCAACAAGTTCGTCATTTGCTGGACTCTCAAGGACCCAATCTGGAACAATCGGTGCGTCGCGGCGATCTATTTGCAACAATCACACAGCATTATGCCAATATAGGGGATAATGAGAAAGCTTGGGAAACCATCGAAGAACTAAAACGTCTAGTGCCAGGAATCAATTTGACTTACTACTTTAATATAAATCTTCTGGAAACATTGGGTTATAAAATGAAGATACAGCGACAAGACAGTTCCGACAAGGATGATGGAATCGAAGAGCTCCTGGGAGAGTAAAGTTTCATTACAAAAATTAACTTCAAATTATTTAGTAAATTTGTAGATACGTTGAGATAAAAAGTAAGCATAATGTGACATATTTATTGTGTGTTGACCTGAGAATAATCATCCAGTAGTTTTTTTGTGTTATTTGGCGATGATCGAATATTTTTCACACTCCAATTAAAAGTCACTATTATTGACTTAATGACATATTATTGATTGTACTACACACAATTTATTAGTATTTGAGATTATTATATATACTTTAGTTTTAAACATTTTCTAAAAAATAAGGAGAAACTTAAAAATAGATTCTCTCGATCAGTAAAGAAAACTATGGCCTACATGCGTATACAAAGGAGGGATGGGGGACTTGTGCTTATCTCTCCCTTCTAAATTTTGGTGAGAAAAAATAATGGAATTATTTTTTTACGCGAAAAAAGAAGTTAGAAAAGGAAGTATTAAGAAAGTTCACTGAAGATCCTTCAAAAATTAGCTTTAATATAAGTATTTTAATAAGTTTTATGAAAGTAAATTTTCCCCTCCTTGAGTACACCCATGACTGATCATTTTTTTGCTATTAGGAATATAAAAACTTCAGATGACTGTTTCTTGATTAAAATTGGTTTTAAATTGCTTATTGAATTTGTAGATAAAATATGCCTCAATAAGCATAACTGCCTAGTGTAGATAAAAAGTATAGAGCCTCAATAAGTATAATAAGACAAGAGATATATATATCATTAAGGGCCCTGCCAGAGAAGGCTGCGTTCCTTTTGGCGCTTATAAGCATCATTTGTCTTTGTTCAATATTTGATAAACAACAAGGATGAAATGATTTTATGAGCGCTGTAAGCAGCTGTAAGCGCCAAACGGAACGCAGCCCTAGCAGAGAGGATCCTCTCTGGCCTAGTCACCGCGGCCATATTGGACTCGTGACGTCATAAGCGAGAAACAGCGAGAAATGACACGTAAAAGTCATACTTATAGAAGTTATAAAGTCTATGGTTCATGTATATATATACATACATATGCTCAGCTAACATTGGTTATGTAAGTTGGAATTGTCAAGGATGAGTGAATGTATGAATATAGTGAGACTGAATTAAAATATGTATTTTATATAACGTAAATATTACAAAAAAATGTAAGTTCATGTCAGAACGAAAAAAGAAATTGGTATTTACAATATCAAAATAAAGCACAAAAATATTCAAGTATAAGTCAACTGAAGTCAACTTGAGTTCAACTCATCACGATCGAGTCATTCAAAAAATAAATTACTGCAAAATGTTTGCCATAAATTTTTGTTCAAAATTACAAAATAAAATACGAGATATACAATATCGTCGAAAGACACCAGCAGAAATATAGCAGTTTGCCAACGATAATATGGTGGCAACTAGCAAATAATTTAGCAGATTTGCAAGTCATCCAATGCATATTGTCAGCAAAAACCAAGCAGAATCTATAAAACGCAAATTTTGTTTTATTTCTGTAAATTTATTTGGATATATTGTCACATAACGTCTAAGAGGATTTTTAGTAAAACTATTAACATATAATTGCAGTAAAATTGATATCAACTATTAGCATAAGTTGTATGTTAATAGTTGATGTCAATTTTATTGCAATTCTATTTCGAATACTGTTAGTTTGCTGGCAGACATAACCCAGATAGCAAACTGCGCACAGTCTGCATGCAGATTGGCAGCAAATTCGAACAGATTCTGGTAGCAAAACCATAGCTATCTGTGTCCGCATTAAGCTCAGGATCTGTCGACAAAGTCTGTTGACACGATATGTTAGCAGATTGCAGACAGAAATTGAGCAAAATCTGCTGATATAATTTGACGACAAATTGGGAGCAGAAATCAGACAAAGCATAATTTGACAGCAGATTGACAACAGAAATCGAGCAGACTTTGCAGTTTTGTAAGCATTTAAATTGTCATTGGCATTGAAATCTTTAAAAATGATATTTTTAGTCTTTTTATTTTAAATTTTATTTGAAAGAAATAATTTTAAACTTTATTTTATTAATAAGTTTTATTAATAAAAATTAATATATATATTTTACATTGAGCATTTGATTCTTCTTTCCAAGAATTTTCTTAAGATGTAAAAGAATCATTTCGTCCTTGTTCTCTGTACACTATAACAATTACAATTTTCTAATAATTCTATGCTCATTTATACTTACAATACTTATATAGCTTCTTTGACGTTAAAGCATTATTCATATTTCGTACTAACAATAAGTACATACATGAATAATACGCAAATAATACTGACATACTCCAGCTTCGATATTGATTATATAAGGGCTGTCTCTTATACACATC